TCACTGACCTTTTGGTTAGAAACTAAGTGCTCATCCATTGTGCCACCAGGTCTCCTTAAAAAATGAGGGTAACTATGCTTATTTCATTAGATAAAGAAAGCCAGACACTTGACATATATTTTCCCATTTAATTTTCAAAACAAGCCTGGATAGACCATTTTTCCCCCTAAGCTGTGCTATATAACTAGATACAACTGAGAAAATTTCCAGTAAAAATTGTATAGAGTGTCATTTTAATGGAAAGAAAATAAGGAAACTAAGAGTGCATATCGCGGTTGGAAGAGAAAGCGGTGCTATGGTGTGGGCGCCACGGGAGGGAGGGCCTCGGCACACCGGGAAGATTAGGTGATGCTCAGTAGGAAGCACTTGATTTTCTGTGGTGCTTGCAGCTTTGGGGCCCGTCTCTCAGGTCAATGCCCTCATTTGAAGGTAATGACAAAGAGGAGCCTGCAAAGAAAACAGAGAAGGCCAGGTTGGGGAGGAAGGAGGAGAACCAGGAGTGGTACTTCATGGTGCCAACAGAGGAATCGAGCTTAAAGAAGTCAGGAGGTAGTTGTTGTGTCACAGGCTGCAGGGACATGGAGGAGGTGAGGCCTGGGAAAGCATCTGGTAAGGGTTGAGTCAGGAGACCAACTTATCACTTTACCAAGTTTTGTCTCCAACATCTCTCTCTGACCAGATCCTGGGCCTCTTCCCACTAGCCTCTTCGTCAGCCTCCAACATGCTCAAATTTCAATATTCTAAAATCCTCTCCTGTATCCTTGTTATGCACTTGAAGTATCACCCTTTCTCTCTCTGTATTAACTTGCAAAATCCTCTCCTCGGTCCCTGTCAAACCAGATCACAGCCTCATGCCCACTCTTGCAGTTTGCCCTCTGCTCTCAGCCTGGCCCAGAAACTGCCCTAGTGACATGCCCTTCTCCCACCCTGGCACAAGTCTCTTTAAAAGTTAGCTCATCTGGGCCCAGCACCATCACCTTTTTAGAAAGAATCCAAAGCTCATGGAAAGACTAGAATTAGATTAAGAAATCTAATTAGAAACCAAAAATGACCTACATAAATGGAAACACATACCATGCGAATGGATAGGTAGACTCGACATTGTGAAAATGTCAATTCTACCCAAAGCAATCTACAAATACAATGCAATCCCAATCCAAACACCGACAGCGTTCTTTAATGAGATGGAAAAACTAATCCTTAACTTTATATGGAAAGGAAAGAGGCCTCAGATGAGTAACACATTATTGTAGAAGAAGAACCAAGTAGGAAGCCTTGCACTACCTGACCTCAGAACCTACTATACAGTGACGGTAGTCAAAACAGCCTAGTACTGGTACAACAACAGACACATTGACCAATGGAACAGAAGCAAGAACCCAGATGTAAATCCATCCACCTGTGATCACCTGATCTTGGACAAAGTCCCAAAGAACATCAAATGGGGAAAAGACAATCTTTTTAACAAATGGTGCTGGCAAAACTGGATGTCCATCTGCAAAAAAAAGAAACAGGACCTGTACTTCATACCATACACAAAAGCTCATTCAAAATAGATCAAAGACCTAAATATAAATCCCAAAACTATAAAGATCATGGAATTAAAAATAGGGTCAACACTAGAGGCCCTAATATGCAGCATAAATAGGATACAAACCATAACTAACAATACACAAACACCAGAAGATAAGCTAGATTACTGGAATCTTCTAAAAATTAAACACACATTCATCAAAAGAGTTCACCAAAAGAGTAAAAAGAGAACTTACAGACTGGGAAAAAATTTTTGGCCATGACATATCCAACAAAGTTCTAATCTCTAAAAGCTATAGGAAAATCCAACACCTGTACAAAAAAAAGTTAAATAATCCAGTTAAAAAATGGGCAAAGGATATGGACACTGCACTAAAAAAGACATTCAGGCAGCTAACGGACACATGAGGAAACGCTTGTGATCACTAGCTAGTAAAGATATGCAAATTAAAACTACAATGAGATACCATCTCACCCCAGCATTACTGGCATGAATCAACAAAACAGAAAACAACAAATGTTGGAGAGGCTATGGGGAGATTGGAACACTTATGCACTGCCGGTGGGAATGCAAAATTGTATAACCATTCTGGAAAACGATATGGAGCTTCCTTAAAAAACTAGAAATAGAAATACCACACGATCCAGCAATCCCACTCCTAGGAATATATCCTAGACCAATAAGAGCCATCACATGAATAGACATATGCACACCCAAGTTCACTGCAGCATTATTCACAACAGCAAAAAGATGGAAACAACCTAAGTGCACATCGACAGATGAATGGATAAACTAACCATGGTACATACACACAATGGAATACTACTCAACAATAAAGAATAATGATGAATCTGAGAAACATCTCACAACATGGATGAATCTGGAGGGCATTATGCTGAGTAAAATAAGTGAATCACAAAAGGACAAATACTGTATGAGACCACTATTATAAAAACTCATGAAAAGGTTTCCACACAGAAAGAAACAATCTTTGAGGGTTACGAGGGAGGGGAGGGGTGAGGAGGGAAAAATACTAACTAGACAATAGATAAGTGGTAACTTTGGTGAAGGGTAAGACAGTACACAATACTGGGGAAGCCAGCACAACTTGACCAAGGCAAAGTCATAGAAGCTTCATAGACACATCCTAAACTCCTATAGGGACCAAGTTACTGGGCTGAAGGCTAGGGACCATGGTTTTGGAGGAAATCTAGCTCAACTGGCCTAACATAGATTATAAGGAAAATGTTCTACATCCTACTTTGGTGAGTAGCCTCTGGGGTCTTAAAAGATTGTGAGCAGCCATCTAAAATACCTCTACTGGTCCCACCCCATCTGGAACAAGGAAGAATGAAGAAAACCAAAGACACAAGGGAAAGATTAGTCCAAAGGACTAATGGACCACAATGACCACAGCCTCCACCAGACTGAATCCAGCACAACTAGATGGTGCCCAGCTACCACCATCAAGTGCTCTGACAGGGATCACAACAGAGGTTCCCAGACAGAGGTGGAGAAAAATGTAGAACAAAATTCAAACTCACAGTAAAATACCAGACTTACTGTTCTGACAGAGACTGAAGAAACCCCTAGGGTATGGCCCCTGGACACCCCTTTAACTCAGTACTGAAGTCACTCCTGAGGCTCACCCTTTAACCAAAGATTAGACTGGCCCATAAAACAAACAATAATACACATAGCCCAACCATGTATACGAGATTAAATGGGCACACCAGCCCAAAGCAAAGACAAGAAGGCAGGAGGGGACAGGAAAGCTGGACAAACGGAAATGGGGAACCCAACGCTGAGAAGGGGAGAGTGCTGACAAGTTGAGAGTTGGCAACCAATGTCACAAAATAATGTGTATTAATTGTTTAATGAGAAACTAATTTGTTCTGTAAACCTTCACCTAAAGCATAATAATAAAAAAAAAGGAACCTAATTAGATCTAATTAATTGGTTAGCCATGCTTTGCTGCTTCCTGGCTTTGTGACTTACGGCCAGTTATTTAGCTTCTGTTTTCTGTCTGTAACCTTATAGGGTTGTTGTGAAAATTATATACAATAAAGCATCTTAGATGCTTAGCACGGTTTCTGGTATGGAGTGTACCCACTGCCATCAAGTCAACTCTGACTCATAGCGACCATATAGGACAGACTGGACGGCCCCCATTGGGTTTCTAAGGCTGTGATACTTACAGAAGCAGATTGGCACATCTTCCTCCCTCGGAGAAGCTGGTGGGTTTGAACTGCAGACCTTTTCATTAGCAGCCGAGCACTTAACCATTGTGCCACCAAGCATCCGGGTATGGAGTATTAAAAAAAAAACACAAACCAAACCCACTCCATCAAGTCGATTCCAAGGCTGTAAATCTCTAGCAGATTACCACATGTTTCTCTTGCAGAGCCACTGGTGGTTTCAAACTGCCGACCTCGGTTAGCGGCTGAGGGCTTTAACCACTATGTCATCAGGGCTCCTGGTATAGGGTGTATGGGGTACGTACTCACACAGGGAGAGCTCTAAGCAATGACTGGTGCTGGGGACCACAATGAAGCTGACAATGATGACACCCCCACGCCCCAGCAGGAAGCCCCCCCCACCCAGGGCTGTGTGGGGAATGTAGTGCTGACCACAAACCAGGGTGGATTATCCAATAGTAACTCAAGGTAAGCACTGTGCTTACCTTGCTTACCAGATCATCTGTAGTGAATGTGGTGAAACCCATGTGAAATTGTTCACTACAGATTCTAAGTAAGCACAAGTAAGCCCATGCTTACCTTGTTTATTGGGTAATCCGCCCCTGCCACGAACCCACTTTCCCTGATTCACTGAATGGTACTGAGGCAGTGAGTTGACAAATAAACGATTCTCAGTAGCTTTGTGGGGAAGTAGTAGTAGAGGTAAAGTGAGCATATTGTTACATACGAAGCCTTTTGCACAGTTGCTGGCACTCAGCATGTGAGGACGGTCTCTTTCTTAACACCTCTTCCAATCAAACCCCCTTTGGAGACAGAACACTGGGTTTGAGTCCCAGTTCTAACACTCAGAGCTTCGTGACCTTGGGGAAGTTAATTACCTCTTTAAGCCTTATTCATAATACCTGCCTCAGAGAGTGCTCGTGGGGAGATAATGAATATCAAGCACCCAATTGTTGGCCACTGGGTATTTGCCTCCCCTCACCTAGTTCCCCTTACACAAATTTTATAGAAACGGGCATCATCTGGAAAGCTTTGCATCCTTCAGGCAACTTTTCAACAGACCACCTGGAGGTGTCTCCTTGTTGTATGGTGGCCAGGCCCCAGGTGGGAGAGCATTTGCAGTTCAACACTCTGCTCTTTTCCTGAATCTTGTGACTTGGCCGAGGCTCCCGCGGGCTCGGGTGTAAAGGGAAGTGCTGCCTGCTTGGGCTCCGGTGTCACCCAGCCTCCCAGCTCCTCAACAGGCGAAATTAGCTGCTCTCTCTTGCCTGCAGGACATTCTTCCCCTGGTGCTCGGTAAGAAGACTGCAGGCTCTGCAGGATCGACAGACGGACAGCAGCCAACATCCCCCCAACCGCGCCATGGAGGAGCAGGAGCGCCTCTGTGGCTCTACTTGGGAACGCCCACAGGAGAAGAACCCCCCGGATTCAGCGTGGTCGTGGGTAAGGTCCGCACGTGACCGTGTGCAAACATGGCGTTTGCTTTCCTTCCTTCCACCCCCAGCTGCCTGAGCGCTGAGGGGACCTGTCGGATCACTTGCGCCCAGGGATGGGTCTGGGATGTCTGTACTTAAGAGTCTCACTGAGGACCGATTCATGCATTCATGTTTTCTTCTAATTAATGCTGCAGCTAGCTTGCTCCTCGGGGGCTCCTGCTATGGAGGCTGCATTTCTAGAGGAGGTTTTAGAACTTATTCAAGAATTAAAGGCTTTTTTTTTCCCTTTGCCTTTGATGATAAATGAATAAACATTGCATTGATCCTCAAAACAGGGACCCAGGGTTTTTTGAGGGCCCCCTGCTTGTCAGGCACATTGCTGGGAACTCATGTCTTGCATGCAGGAGGAGGAGAGGTTCGGGGTGGCCGTGAGGCGCCTAAATAGTCATTTAACCAGCGTTTCTCAGATGATGAGGTGAGACTCCATTGGAATCTGGAGGCAGTGACTGCACCATACTGCCTTCTAAGATCTCATCCTAGATGCCAGGGGTTTGGGGGGGCGGGTGGAAGAGTAGCTATTTTCACTGAAAACCCCAAGGGAGGAGTGGAGGGTGTTCAGATAACCCTAAGTGGCAGTGAGTGCCGAGGGTCCGGCCTGGGCTACAACTCAGGGCCTTGCTGATTTTTCCAAACAAAGGCAGGGAGGTTTGGCTGCAGTGAGGCTATATCAAACCTCTGCCCCAAATGGTGGAGCTGGGACACCAATCCGCCCCTCCACCCTCAGCACAGGGCAGAAGGTTCAGCATCCCCGCCTCCCAGAATGCTGGAGCTGAAAGGGAAATAGAGTGAGGGAGTGTGGCTTGCTTGAGGCTGACAGAGCCTGCAGCTGGTCGCGCTCGTCAGATCCTGAATCAAATCCATCTTCCTGGCAGCTAATTTTCTTTCAGAAGCAACAGGCCCTACTGGGATGCTGTTGGTGTTCAGGCTGAAATGCACTGGGGGGTGCGGGAGAAAGAAAGGGGGCACTGGATTCTGCTCCCACCTCTGCCACGATTTGCCACTTGGTCCTTTGGGCAAGTATGTCCTGAATGGGCCGATGCTTGCAGAAGAGTTAAACGCCAGTTGCTATTGCGTCAACTCTGACTCACAGCGACCCCATGTGTTTCAGAGTAGAACTGTGTTCTGTAGGGTTTTCTATGGTTGATTTTTTGGAAGTAGATTACCAGGCTTTTCTTCCGAGATACTTCTGGGTGGACTTGAACCTCTAACCGTAGCAGCTGAGTGTATTACCCATTTGCACCACCCAGGGACTCCTGCAGGAGAGTTGAGTTGGGCTAAACGCTGGCCCTCCCTGAGCTGCAGTTCCCTCTCTAAACTGAGGGCAGGAATGGTATCTCCCTCGGGGTGCTGTGCAGATAAATCACAGCTACACTGATTAAATAGATGCTTGGTTGTTGTTTTTTTCTGCTTAGTTTGGGATTAAAATGGCTTTGTTCTGTTTCCATTCCTGGAATGCCTGTCTTAAATGTATCTTACATTTCTGCCCTGTGCTCATTGCAGATTACACCCACGTCTCCTGCGTGTGCAGGGCTGGGTCCCATAGAAGGTCCCTGCACATCCATTGTCCTGACTGACAGTCTTGACCAGTCCTGAGAAGCAGGGCTGATCCTCCTGGTTATTATCTCACTTTACCACCCAGGCATTTGGGCAGCACAGCAACAACAACGACAACGACAACTCTTTGCTGTTGAGTCAATTCCGACTTATAGTGACCCTAGAGGACAGAGTAGAGCAGAACTTTTGATTAGCAGCCATATCTCTTAACCACTGTGCCACCAGGGCTCCCCACGGTTATTCCCACGGGACACCTGAGGAGACCAAGGCATAGAGCTGGGACTTGCCTATAGCCCCTTGGGGGATGTTACAACTCTCATCAGATGGTAGAGCCCTGGTGGCATAGTTGTTAAGAGCTACAGCTGCTAACCATTTGGCACTTCGAATCCACCAGCCGCTCCTTGGAAACTGTATGGGGCAGTTCTACTCTGTCCCGTAGGGTCACTATAAGTCAGAATCGACTTGACGGCAATGGTTTTTTTTTTTTTTTTTTTTGTGGGGTGGCATTACTAGATACTGCTACCCACGGAAGCCTGACTTAGTATAATCATTTGTTTTCTGCTTATACTGTTTGGTTTATCCTTTTGTTTCTGAGTATAAAAGCAACATATGTTCATTATAGAAAAATCTAGAATATGTAGGGAAGTGCAAATAAGATAAAGGAAACCCCTATAACCCCACCCCCTAGGGGGCCTGGGAGTTTTATAAACAGAGGTCCTATTTCATTTCCCTGTAGGCTCATTATAATTAAGCCCCAGAAAGGATTCCAAATCTATCTCTTGTCCCCTTCTATTCTGTACCTCTTGCAGCCACCGCCCTGCCGACCCGATGTGCTTGATAAATGCTTGTTGACCAAAAGACTCCTAAAACCTCAGGCTGAAAGCCACACCAGGCCCTTTGTTGTTCTGTTGTGGCATAGTGACATTCATCTCGGGCTGTCACCTCCTTTGGCTGCTGCTGTGTACCTGGACCTTCTTCCTTTGGGGAGACGGGCCTCCTCCTTGGCAGGGGAAGGGGAGGAGGAGGACCCTGGACTGCTCCTCCTGGAGCGCAGAGCTGGCTCCCTGCAAGGGTGTTAGCACTTCGTTGCAGGGTCTGAAAGGACCTTGGGCGGGGCATAGGGTGGTGCCCGCATCTGGGAGAAGCTGACCTGCTGTGTTGTAGGACAGCTGCAGAGCGGTGATCCCGGGAGCCCAACCGGCAGCTTCCAATGAGAGCAGCCCTCCTCTAGGTGCTGGGGGGCTGAGTCTGGGACCAGACCTTAGAGGCCAGGGGAGGCCTGGGCTCAGAGTAGGGGCTTTAGCAAAACAGAGGGAAAAATCCCAAAAAACAAAACCCGTTGCCGTTGAGTTAATTCTGACTCATGACAACCCCTTGGGTTACAACACAGAGCTGCTCCATAGGATTTTCTTGGTTGTAGTCTTTACAGAAGCAGATCAATAGGCTTTTCTTCTGTGGCACCGCTGGGTGAGTTTGAACCACCAGCCGTTAGGTTAGTAGTTGGGCCAAACCATTTACGCCACCCAAAGCATAGGAACTGGGGCGCAACTCAGGAAAAGGAGGCAGAAGCCCAGAGGGACCGACTGCAACAGACGAACGGTTAGGAGGAGGCTGCAGGGATCTGGCTGAGCAGGACAGGGAGGCAGGAGCTGCAGCTGCCTTGGCCAGGCGCTGGGCTGGCTGGCTTCTGGGAAGGATAAAAGTGGCTCAGCCGCCACAGGGCTGTTTTCATTCCTGGGGCTGGGAAAGGGCAGTTGGCAGCACTGTGGGCCCTCAGAGGCACCTGCTGGGTTGGCACCGTCCACCTGCGGGGTTGGCTGTTTCCAGAGGCTCGGGCTTGATCTCTGGGCCATAAGCATTTTCTGAGCCCCCAAGTATGAGCAGAGCTCTGTAGTGGCTGGAGAGATAGGTAAGACCCAGTCCTTGTCCACAGGAGGTCAGGGCAACCCGTCAGCCACTAAGTTCACTGGGGCTCAAAGCAGGACTAATTCTGACAGCCAGGGCTGGGCAGAGCGTCTCTGAAAAGATGGCATTTGAGCCAGGCCTTGGCGGAGGAGTAGGATTTCAATAAACAAGGCAAAAAGGCGGTGGAGCAGGCATTCTAGGCTGCGGGCTCAGCTTGAGCAAAGGCTGAGGTATGAAAGTACAGCGTGTTCCCCTAACATTAAGTCTGCAGGTTGTGTTCCTTAGGCTTTTTGTGACTGGATTTTTTCCTAGCCGAGTGGTACAACGTGATATTCACCTCGGTCAGGCACGCAGCCTGTGAAAGCAAGCAAGCAGTCTTGTGCCAGATCTGTGAGACCGAGGGAGAAGACGTGGGTCCAGGAGCCAAGAGATCTGTGCTCAAATCCCCATGTCACTTGCAAGTTCTGATTTCCTGGAGCCTTAGTTTTCTTACCTGCAAGATGAGACTGATATTTAACTCACAGGTACTTGATAATAGTAACTCTACACCAGTTGCCATTGAGTCAACTCCAACTCATGACAATCCCACGTGAGTCAGAGTAGAGCCGTGCACCATGGGTTTTCGTTGGCTGATTTATCATAAGTAGATCGCTGGGCCTTTCTTCTGAGGAGCCTCTGGGAGGACTCAAACCTCCAACCTTTCAGTTAGCAGCCGAGTACATTAACCGATGCACCACCCAGGGACTCCGTAGTAACACTAGACCTGCAAAAAAGGCAGCCTGTTGCCGCAGGTTGGGCTGTAAATATGATGGTGAAGAGAAATCAAATAAATTTAAGCTTGGACCATTAAAATTAGAGAACACTGTGAAAAGAAAATTCACAAATCCAGATCCTTGTATTTCCTAATAGGAATGAGAATTATGAGTTTAGTCTTCAACCAAACATTCAAGGCCTTTCAAAACCTGGCCCCACTTTACCTCTGTATGCTCAATGCTCTCCTTCTACCACCATCATGTGCTGCCTGACCATGCGCCTCTCTTCAGAGAAGGCCACTTGTGTTAGCTGGGTCTCCAGCAAGGTGACTGTCTAGACCCCTGGCCCATCCTGCCACCTCCAGCCCCTGCAGGCTCAGGGGCTGTAATCTTGGTACCAATTACCCAGAGCATGTGTTTGCCACCTGAACTCCTTTGTTGTCTCCAATCAGAGGCCTAGACAGAGGCTGGGGGATGGACTCCTGGGCCCCTTTCTTCAGGGACCTCTGGGACCCACTACCCCGATGGTGGTGTGCATGTGGAAAGACAAGCTCAGGGAAATGATCCACTTCTCCCCAGAGCCTGAGCTGACCTAAGTTAGCCATCTGGTTCAGGGAAGTTTCTCAAGAGGCCAGCAGCC